ATGTGTAGCATTTGAAGCAATCTGTGGCAAGATGTGAACTTAAAGGGCTTGTGTGGCTCCGCCCCTGTGGCACTTTTGGTGGTAGCCCTAGTGGCTTTTCTTGGGCCTGCTCTGTTCACTTCTTGCAATTTTCTTCAGACAATCCATGTTCCTGGTTTCTCCAAACTTCTGGGGTCTCCACTGCACCTTTGGCTTCACACTTAACAGCTTCACACAGTGCCCTCTCAGGGGTACACTGCCTGGCCTCCCAGGCCTTTTTCTGAAATCTTGGTGGAAGATTTCCTGACCCCACAACTCTTGTATTTTGTATGCATCCAAAACCAGCACCATGTGGACGATGCTGTGGTCTTCTGTCAGCTGGAGCAGTAGCCAGGCTTCTTTTTCTTGGCTGTAAGGATCAAGTACCTGTATCTCTAAGCACTCTGAACCCAATCTCGAAGAACAAATTTTCTAGGCTGCCACCGTTCTGGAACATGGTGCTCTGGGGATCTATTCTCAAACCAAAGTCTTTCACCTTTGTAATTTTGAGCCTGCAGAGGCTGAAATCCTACTGTTTCATGTGATATCTTTAGACCATCTTTTCTATTTTTGTGTGTGGGTTTTTTTTTTTCTCCTCTGTCTTTCTATAGCTTTATTGGTGCTTCTTTTTTGGCCAAACTCACAATGTTTTAAATTATTTTGCTGGCCTCTTTGCCCTTGATTTTCAGGATCTGGCTAAAAGCCCCCAACAGCAGCCATACCATGGCCTCCACATTAGACTGCTTTGTATTTTTTTCTGCAAGATTAATTAGTCTGCTGCCCGTAATCTTAGTCCAGGCAGAGCCTCTGGACATGGGCAAAATGTAGACAAAATTTTGGATTTCTATCAGCCTTTTGTCTTTTGAACTCTGACCAGAATTTCCCATCAAGTACAACCTAAGGCTATCCAGCTCTACTTTTTCAGCTGACATCTCCAGACCTTTTCAGACTCTTCCCACAAGCCAGTCTCAAAGGCACTTGAACCACATGGTCAGGTATAGTCACAGCAATGACCCCACTTGGTATAAAATTTTGTCGTAGTTTATTTTTTTGTTGCTGTTACAAAATACCTGACACCTAAAGTTAAAGGGGGGAAGTTTTATTTAACTCACAGTTTGTAGAGCTTCCAGCCCATAGTTGGCTGGCTCCAAGGGCAAGTGGCACATGGCAGAGGGGCGTCACAGAGGAAGAACATTTCATTGCAGGCAAAGACAGCAAAAGCAACAAGGAACCTTAGCAGCTTCTTTCTATCCCTTTTATACTTTAGCTAGGCTACCAAGATTGGAGGGAGTGTTAAACCAGTTAGATTGATTTAGTACTCAGATGGCCTTAATCCCAGCTCACACACTGTAGATTCATCCACCTCTGAAAAAGCCCCACTTATGACCCCATGAAGCTTGGGGGGACATCTAAACACAAACCATAGCAGGTGGCTCCAAGGCAGAAATATGGTGGATGAGTAGAGTGGGACAAAGCTGCTTAGCTTATGACAGCCAGGAAATAGAACAAGGGAATAGTACTAGAGAGGAAAGGGTAGGGAACCATACATAGGGCCCAGGGCCATGCTTTCATGACCAACCCAGATACATCCAAAAGTATGCACCACCTGTTCCCCAGGTGGATCTCAAATCCAATTACGTGGACACTTTTCCCTAATCACTACCCTCTTGCTGCCCTTGTCACTTTGTGTGCTTCTCCATGTCCTCTCAGGAGAAGCCTTGATTATCTGTATATTTGTGTTTCCTCCATTTAAGATAGCATCTGGCTTACATGTAGTTGATGCCCAGTTAAAAAAAGGTTGAATCAATGAATTGTTGTATCAATGAAAAGTAGTATTATAACTAAATTTTTAAGACTGTTACACAGAGAACAAACGGAGAGAGGATACTTTTCACTCAGTATATGCAAATTATTTTTAAAAAATGAACTGGGCTGCCTTTGTGCTTCTCATTAGTGGAAGCTTTAAGTTTAAACCTAAGCACTGTGTGTTAGTCACTTTTCTCTCATTGCTGAGACAGAATACCCAACACCCAAAGTTGAAGGGGAAGGGGTTTATTTGGCTTACAGTTCGTAGAGGTTTCAGTCCATAATCGGCTGGCTCCAAGTCTGGGATGGCAAACAAGCAGTGCAGAGGAGAAACAACATGGCACACACAAGGCAACAAAGGTAACAAGAGTTTAACAGCATCTTTCTGCCCCTTTTATTTTATTCAGACTGCAGGGATTAGGGTGGTGCCAAACTAATGACTCACATGTAGTGGTGTAGTAATCACAACACCTTTAACCCCTGCATTGCACATTCCAGGTTCAACTACCTCTGAAAAAGAAAGTCCCACCTCATTGGCATGAGGCTTTGGGGGGACATCTAAACACAAACCCTAACAGCCTAGGTATCAGGGATATTGTTGGGAGGGTAAATAAAGTACATGAGCTCTGTTTTGTGACTTATTCTTTGTTAAGAGTTATTGCAAGACCATTGAAAATGGGATCATTTGCATTCCCATACTTTGGTTCCCATGAGAGACCCACATGCTATATCACTAGCAGTGTCCTTGCCCTCTGCCACATAATTACCCAATGAAAATCAGTAAATGACCCAGAACAGTTATCCAGCAGTACCTAGCATAATGTGTGCATGCTCATACACATACAATTAGCTATCATACTGAATACTCTAATAATGGCAGCCATGTAGAGGATAGATCAGATATATTGTTCATTTAGGCCTTACTTTTTGTGATAATTGACTTTCTCACTTCCTAGTTCTTTATCTGTTACAAATCCTGAGTGACAAGATTGGTGAAGTAGTTATCAACTGTGCACAAGTGATATTAGAAGTAAAAAAAAAAAAAGTAAGAAAAAGATTATAGTGCAGTGTTTAAGAGTAAGCTTTTTTTTTTTCCTGTTGCACACAGTTTATTTAACAATAGATATAGGAAATAAGTTGGTACTTTACCATTCTATACAATGATTGAATCTTCTTGAATTTTCTTATTTATAGTAATTATAGCCCTTGCACTAAAATTGCTTTTCCTCATTTCAAGTTTCACATAGAAGAAAGAAAATAATACCTCTTCTCTATTAACATTAGCATGGTCTAAGAGAGTGATCATTCCTATTTTTGTCTAAAACTAGTTTTATCAGAGAAACAAAGCAACGGTTTCTACATCTGCAAGATAAGAGTTTGGCTTATCTTGGGTGTGTATGTGTGTGCATGCCAGAGTCAATTCCTGTCATCCAGGGGTAATACTTGGAGACACCCACAGAGTTCGCTATAGAAAAATAATCTTCCTGCAATGTCAGACAGTTATCGGGATACATTATAAGATGCATTATTTCAGGAACCACTTTCTGAATATTATTTTTCTTCTCACTTTTAAACATAAGTGTTTAAAATATTGAAAATGCAAATAAAAGTATGAATGTAATGAACTTGTTTTTCCCATTAAAAAAAGGCATGAATCACCACCAATGATGACAAAAAGAATCCAAACAAGTCCCCTTCCCCCGAAACAAAAACAAAATTTAAAAACCCCCAAACAAAAAATAACAACAAAAAGAGAGAGACCAGATATTTAAATCAACTGGTTTTTAACAAAAAAATACCCCTAATTAAAAGAATCATACCATAGTGATGTATGTGCACCCATGTTCATAGGAGCACAATTTGTAATAGCCAAAACTTGGAAGCAACCCAATTGTCCATCAACTGGAGCCTGGATAAAGAAAATGTAGGTTTTTTTTTTTTTTAATGGAGTACTACTCAGCCATAAAAAATGAGAAATCAGAGAATTTATTGCTAAATGGATGCACATTGAGATGATACTCTTAAGTGAAATAAATAGGACACACATGTATAAATACTGAATAGTTTCTCTAGTGTGAGAAACTGAAAGTGTAAATAAGGACTAGAAGGTATAATAGATAATGTGAAATAGGAAGAAAAGGGGCAAAGGGGAAGTGGAGGGGTAGGGGAAAAGAAAGAATTAATGGAATGGAATGGAATTAATATGAGAAAAAGGAAAAATGCAAATAAAGTCTTTGTAAATAGGGAGGGATGGAGGGGTTGAAGGGAGGGCAGGGGAATGGGGGAAAAAATAAGAACCAAGAGAGGTTATGTAAAGGTGCAAATTTCTAATGATGAACGTAACTGTATTGTATACCTAAAACATACCAATAAAATTGATTTAAAAAAAAGATTAGGCTTTTTGGGTTTAGAGTCCCAGCTCTACCACTTACAAACTATGTGGTCTTGGTTCTAGTACTTAAGTCTTTGTGCTTCAGTTTCCAAAGCTGTAAAATGAGGATGATAATGGTAGAACCTAATCCGCAGAGTGATTGTAAGGACTGCATAGCCAAGGAATAAAGGATATGGTCCCTAGTGTATAGTAATCATCAAGTAAAGGTCTGCTGGTATTGTTATGATTATCACCATTAACACTATCATCGAACAGACACATTTAAGATACATAGCTTAAGACAACCACATGCATAGTGTCTGGCATATATCGGGAATTTTTTTTTTTTAGCTATCAGGAACCCAGGGCCTTGAACATTCTAGGCAAGTGCTGTACCACTGTACTACACCCCCAGCCTGACAATAAATATTCTTGAATAAATAAGTAACCTGGTCATTTGTAATTCTTATTTATATCTTTTCTTTCAGATAAGTGTAGGAAATGGTCCAGATAACTTAAAAGCATAATATGAGAACTAAATGCAGTTATAGTCAAGCTTGGGGCCTGCTAAGGCAGTCTGAAATGCCTCATTCTGGGGCTTACCTTATCTCTTTATTAAAACAAATGTAGGTTTTGAAAAGCCTTTTGAATTTTTTTAGGAAAGAAAATATAATCAGGTAAAATTAGTACTTTAGCTATAATTTTATATAATTTTCTGCATGATAAAATGAAATGTTGTTGCCACAAAAATGTTCTCATCTGAATTTAGGTGATGTGTTAACACTTTCCTTGTATTTGCAAACAGGTTCATCCTAAATTTCACTATAAACAGGCTCATGATCCAGGCACAGACACTTCTTGTGTGGCTTTTTCCTATGATGGTAATGTCCTCGCCTCTCGTGGAGGTAGGTTAAAAACTTTCTTTTTGATGAGTTTCTATGTATAAATTGATATCATATTTAACACTAACAAATATACTAATGTTAATATTCTATCATGTAGTAAAACTAGATTGGTTTTTGTTAATGTACCTGTGTCAGTCTGATTTTTCCATTGAAACGCATTTCCAACACTGTTGATATTAACAGTTATCATTGAGCTGGGTGTGGTGGCACATGCTTGTTATCCCTTGGGAGGCTGAGGCTGGAGGATTGCTGTGAGTTTGAGGCCAGCTTGGGCTACATAGTGAGTTCAAGGCCGTCCTGAAGTATATATAGAGACCATATCTCTAAAAAATAAAACATCCGAAATAAATAACTAAACCAAAAAAAAAGGCTGTCAAGTAAATTTAGAAAATATGTACTCTTTTTCTTGTTTTTCTTGTGGCTTCAGATTTCATAAGAGTTTGAAGCCTCTGTGAATGACCTTTGCCTCTTCCTTTGGAATTTTGTAGATGATCATGTCTACATTCTTTCACCCTTTCTATACTGTTTTATAATTCTATGACTGGGTTTTCAAAATCCTCTGTTGACCATTGAGTTTTTTTCCCCCAATTCAAACACTAACTCAATTCAGTTTTTTGTTTTGTTTTGTTTCGGTACTGGGGACCCAACTCAGGACCTTGTGCTTGTGAGGCAGGCGGCCTCTACACTGAGCTAAATCCCCAGCCCTTAACTCAATTCAGTTTTAAAATAAGGTTATACCTATGTTATTTTAAAAATAGATTGTTATATTGAAAATTTATTTATCTTCACTCATATGGTTGCATTTAGATTGTTCCTGATTTTTTGCTACATCATTCTCACAGGGATAAGGCTGTGTGTTAATATGAAGAGATGGATAATAGTGCTGTTTATGAGCTCTGCATTATGGGAAAGAATGGGATATAGCTGAGGATCTTCCTATAGATCCACTTGTGGGAAGAGGAAAGAAATAGTACAAGATGAGTAGATTGGACCCATATTACACAGGGCCTTAAATGTCATATAAAAATTTTTCTGTAGGCCATAGAAAAGCTATTAGTTGGATTAAGTTAGCAATGTTATATTTAGTTGTTCATTTATTCACTTAATGACTATATATTGAGCATGTACTGTGAACTAGCATTATGTTAGGTGATGGGTATAATATGTGAATATCATAGATAAGCTTTCTATCCTGAAAGAATTTATGTCCCAGTGTATAAAGTAGTAGAAAGAGACTCAGTGCAGATTTCCCCCCAGTTTAAAAACTCCATGCCCTTTTTTACTCTAGGGAACTCTGTTTACATTCTCTTTTCTCTAAGGAAGTTACTTTTATTGTTCCTGAGACAAAATACCTGACACCCAGAGTTAAAGAGGGAAGGTTTATTTAGCTCACAGTTTGTAGAGGTTTCAGTCCATGATCAGCCGGCTCCTAGGCAGTGTGGCAAGGCAGATAGGCCTTGCAGAGGAGAAATAGTTCATGGCAGCCAGAAAGCAAAAGCAGCAAGGGAAGACCACAGCTCTTTCTATTCCTTGTATCTTATCCAGACTAATTAGGGTGGGTAGCACTCATATTCGTATTCCTAGTGCCCTTGAGCCTAGAGTTGCACCATGAATCAATCACTTTGGATTCAGCCACCTCAGAAAAAAGCCCCACCTATGATTGACTGCATGAGGCTTTGGGGGAATATCTAGACATAAGCCATAACACCTCATCTATTGTATGAAAACTACCCTGACTTGCAGTCTAAACAAATCGAAGTACATTATACACATAATTTTTGGGGTAGATATAACAAATGTAAATTTGTATAAAATAAGTATTTTGCTCATGAATTCTAACCTGCTACTTGAGTCCTGAGATGACTTCTAATTAAAACCATATATATTCTTTACTTAAAAACATTGGTTTTAAGCCAGGCATGGCAGTGCACACCTGTAGTCCCAGCACTCGGGAGCCTGGAGGCTGAGGCAGGAGTTGTTTGAGTTCCTCAAGAGTATGAGGCCCAGCCTGGGCTACATAGTGAGACCCTGTCTCAAAAAAAAAAAAAAAACCAACAACAATAAAAACCCAGTGGTTGTAATCCACATAGTGTATCTGAATCTCCAGGAAAGGCTTTTCAAATGATAAATTTCCATTTTGAAATTATCAGTTCACTCTTGCATCTTTAGGGTGGCATACCCAAATCTCTTAGATGGAATTAGAAGGAGTGGTATAATTTGAAAATTGTTCCCCAGAGGGTTCTAGAATAGGTGAGCCCTTACCCTGTTGATATTACTGTCTTGAAGTATAGGGCTAAATATATTTCAGTCAAAAGCAATTTGGGGATAATTGTTGACTTCCCCTTCTATCCTGTGCTAGCTATTGGATAACTTAATTGGCCAACACAACATGTATACTATATTCCATCCTTTTCCTTCCTGGATGTAGAGAAGATGGCAGGTGAAAGTCTGTTCAGCAGAGTGTTGTGAGGTGCCCTGACTTCCTCTACAACATACTGGGTTAGCTGAAATTAATGCAGATTAATGTCTCTTACTGTTTGAGTATGAGAATGTGTACCTTTTAAGATGAAAAGCAACAGAGTAACATAGCAACGGGGAGTTTTACAAAATTCTTAATACAGTCAGGTCCTGAGTCCCAACTAGTTGTGGATTAGTGCACTTGACAAATGTTGGGTTTCAGAGGAGGGGTCACTGGGGAGAGAAGGGGGAGTTTTCAATTAAAAATAAAAACACTCCATTCATCTCATTTGCAGCTGATCATGATCCCTTATTGGACCCAATGGGTTGAGGCTGGTCTCAGCTGTGGGCTTTGGGAAGCAGGAACAGCAAAGATATTACTGTACTAATGAGTTTGGCTTTTGTTCTGCTCAGAAATCTGTTAGTAGCCCTTTAGAAATATTAAAAAGTGATTCTTTAAAAAATAGTCATCACTCTTTAAATGGCTTGGAAAAGCTGTACTCCCTAGCAAGTGAAGGATAGCCACAGGTAGAATTGCACTGGAGGGCAGGGAATAATACGGCTCACTCATTAATGTTAATGGATAGGTTTGCCCACATAGTAGTGGAAAAAATTCTGTTGTGAATTGTACTATTTTCAGTCCTGATGGTTCTTAAATTAAGATCTTCCCAAGAAGTTAGGTTATAATAAAACATACCACAGGGAAACTACCATCTGCTCTAAAATCACACTTTAGAGTAGATTCTTCAGAATTCTTTCTAACTTACAGGTGCGACATCACTGTGGAGAGTAATTTCTAGAAGATAGACTTATTATCATATTGTTTTCTGTCTTTTTATGACTTTTACTCTTTTAAGCTCCCTGAACAATTAAAGAAGTAAAATATGCTTATGTGCACCTGGGTTCTTTCTCTCCCTCCCTTCCTTGCTTTTGCTCTTCCCATTCTCCTCCTTTCTTTATAGTTGTACACTAAATTTAGCAAACCCTAAACTGAGAATGAGATGTTTTCACAAAATTCACTTTTTTCTTTCTTATTCCTCCATCAGGTGATGACACATTAAAATTATGGGACATCCGACAATTTAATAAGCCACTTTTTTCAACCTCAGGTCTTCCCACCATGTTCCCAATGTAAGTAGCATGTTTTTAATATATGATTGGCACAGGGTAATTGAAAAAAAGTTCTTCACTTTAATGGTTATATTTATATCATATGTTTTAGATTGTCTAGAAAAAAGCCTTGAGAGTGATTGAAATATATTTTTTGAAAGATGCATTTTATTATTTTTTATTTTACACATTTTTTCAGACTATAAAATGTTTTGGGAAGTTAAATGATGTATATGTATGTTATTTGAACACTCATTTCCATTCTATTAAGTCAGCAACTAAAGCTTTTAAGGACTTTTCAAGGGTGGTTGAGGTGAGATTTAATCTCTAAATCCTATAAATGATGCCTAGGAAAGTGTTTCTACTTTAGTAGAAACAAAATTTCTCTTCTAAGTTAAATAATGACAAACATGGAGAGTGTGAAAATAATGGAAGCATCATATGATGGAGCTGTAGAACAGCTGCATACCGACTCTAACATGATCTACTGCCCATAGCATCATTTGTTAAACCTGCAAACAAACATGAATTTATAGTGGATGAGGATTTGGAGGGGCTATTATGCCTGCTATAAGTAATTCAAATTACATAACTTCCTTAGATTATGTCTTCAATTAATCATAATCAGATGGCCAGGGCTGTGGTAAGGAAAGCTGTTTAATTAGAGCCACGAGTTAGGCTCCAGTGATGCAGCCTGGTTCTGGCTGCCTAGTGCTTGACTTGATGTAACTGAAATTATTAAGAGGGAGTAATAGTAAGAATAGTTTTTAAAATGGCCAAAATAGTCACTACTTAGAGATTAGTCATATATGTCTGTTTGTAGAGATTTTCCATGTGTATGTGGAGTTTTCCTCACTTTCTTTATATTAAGTGTGTATATATATATATTTAAAAATTATGTATGTATGTTACAAAGGGACAGATTCTGGAGTTAGGTACCCTGTGTTTGACTCTCAGCTGTATCATATCCTTGTGTGATTGTGGGCAAGTTTTATTAAACGTCTCTGTCTCAGTTTCCTTTATCAGTACAATGGGGATAATACCTACCTAGTAGGATTATTGTGAAGATTAAACAAATTATTAAAGGTGCCCGATTCATAAACTCTGTATAGGAACTAGCTCTTTTTACAGTGGTGTTTATATTTTATTCAATTCGCTCATTATTTCTGTGCTGTTGTGAGGTCATAAACTTACATTTATCAACTCTTTGTCTGTAGGACTGACTGCTGTTTCAGTCCAGATGATAAACTCATAGTCACTGGCACCTCTGTTCAAAGAGGATGTGGTAGCGGCAAACTTGTTTTCTTTGAACGTAGAACTTTCCAAAGGGTATATGAAATAGACATCACAGATGCGGTATGTATCTTCTTTTTCTTCCCATCCTTGAAGAGGAAGTGAATTTTCTTAGTCATCTTTTATTTTGTTTTTTTATAGCACATAAACACTGGCCCTTACAGTGCAGTGATAGCTGCTTTTTTCTCCAATGCAGGAATTATTAGTACTTTGTAGACCAGCTGTAACCCTTCCCCTGACCCAGTCTTTCCTGTGGCCCAGACTTTAGTCAGAATTCCAGCTCGCCCTGGGTTGTTTGCTCTTCTCTGCTGACCAACTTGAGGAGGAAGCTTATCGTCATGTAGGAAATAGAAAGAAGTGTCCTGTAGTGTGGATGTTTGGAAGGATCCAGGGACAGTTGGCAAATGTGAAAGGATATGCCTTTAGAGAGTGATGAAGTTCATCATTGTTTCCTATACCCTGAAAACTTTGGTAGAATTTTACTTGTCAGAGCTGTAGTCATTTAAGATAAGGCTCACCTTCCACTGAACTTTATTATTATTTATTTATTTGGAAATTTAAAACATTTCAAATTTAACTTTTATACTTTAAAAAATTCCAGAACCTTTCATTTTCTTTACACATTTATATGAGCACTGAAACACCAGCATGCATGCATTCATTCATTCATTCATTCATGTCCTGAGATGGAGTCATATGTAAATAATAATGGCAGAGATTCCCAGAGGAAAGTTTGAGTTCTTTTAAAGTACATGTTATTAGTTAGATGGTTAGATGGTAAGGCAAATCATTGTAATTTTCTGAGTATGAAATGGGCCAATTAATGTCTGGGAAAATTTTCTTTGGCTCATTGTCAAATCCTTTAGTAATATCCTATATCTTGAACAGTGCTCTCATGTAGGTTTCTCCAGTTGTTTCAGCTCTTTGCAAACAATTGAGACATATTATGCACTTAAGTGAATCAGACAGTTGAACAACTGTTTTTAAATCACTAGTAAAAAGCACTTGTCTCTAATGTTCTGGTATTACAATGGAGTCTTTTTTTTTTTTTTTTCGGTATTGGGGATTGAACTCGGAACCTTGCGCTTGCAAGACAGGTGGTGGAACTACTGAGCTAAATCCCTGGTCCCTGGAGTCTTAATTTGTAGATCCGCATTTAAAATCATGATATAGTTTGAGTATTATAGGAAATGTGAAATAACAATGAGATGAATTCTAGACGAGTACTCAAGTTTTATAGATTTTAATCTCATGACATAATTTGAAATGTGCCAGCGCTTGTAATACTTTCGGGGTGGGGGGTACATCCAGGAGCCAACTAAAATGCTAGAATAGAATAAAAATAGTTGACTCTATCAACTTTAATCTCAAAAAGTAAAATTATTATAATCAGTTGTTCCAGAAGTAATTTGTGTTCTGTTATGCTTCTCATCAACTGTGTATTTCAGTACTATTCTTGGTGTTGTATTTTTAAATTATAATTTAAGTTAAAATGTAATGAAGGAATGTAGCAGAATGATTGTACTTTTTTCTTTTTCATACTAAGGATTCAACCCAGGACCTTCACACTGAGCTACATCCCCACCCTTTTAAAAAATTGTTTATGTTGAGACTGGGTCTCCGTAACTTGCTAAGTTGCTCAGGCTGGGGATGATCTTGCAGTCCTCTTGCCTCAGCCTCTCACAGTGCAAAGATTACAGGCATGTGCCACCATGCCCTGCTGTGATTGCAGTGTTAATGACATGCTGAATTTCTGAAGTTTACAAGAAGAGCATACTGTTTGCTGGAAAAATCAGTATCACATAATGTGATAAATTTTTGTTCTCTTAATTGCTTTTCTAGCTAGATCTTTCTCTCCATAGCACTCACCACCACCTCATGTTGTAATATATATTTGTTTGTTCATCTGTCTTCTACCTGGATGTAAGTCACACAAAGCAAAAACTTTATTTGTTTTGTTCACTGAGGTGTCCTTTTTTATTAAAAAAAATGTAAGTTTTAGTACATATTTGGAGTACATAATGATTACATTCATTATGAGGAGTTGGTACATGTACATAACACATCTTCATTCTTTTTACTTCCCCTTCTCCTTCCCTCGCTCCTTCTCCCTGCATCTCTTGGTCACACTGGGGTATCCTGAATGCATTTGATGAATGAGTGGGCAGTACACTTGGGAAGGGCAAGCAATGCATATTGTGCATTTGTTGTACAGTGAGAAAGGTATTTAGAGCTTAAAAGATAAGCTAGGCCTGAATATCTTAATAAAAGTGATTTTATATTGTGGCTATTTCTAAAAGTACAGGATAACCCATTCAGATAAACATTTTGGAACAGTTAACTCTTACTGAAATGAAAAGTTTAGATTTACAAGATTTGGTAAAAATTTGTATATGAAGCCTGAGGTTTATAACTTGGGAGATTGGGTGAATATATCTATGGAAAATAGAGCAAATTTTGGAAGAAAGACAGTAAGCTCTGCTGACGTATTGAGTTTGAAGTATTTGTTGGACTTTTGGGGTATAGATACTCAGTAGGCAAATGGATACCCAAGGTTGCTGCTTAAGAGGGAGAACACGTGGTTTGGAGAGAAGCAGTTGTAGTTCATAGTTGAAATGTGGTTGCTGGAGGATAGAAAAGATGAGCCCTAAGAAATGACACATAAGAGATGAACTAGTGAAGAGAACCTAACAAAAGAAAAGGTTTTTTAAGTAAAGAGAGTGTACCATATGTTAAGTCATCTTAGGACAGTCAAGAAACTGATTTTGAGATCTGTTTGTATAGATGGATGAAGAAAGAACTTCAAATAGAGATAAAATCATACACTTTAAAGGAAACTTTTAAATCATTGATTCAGTGACAGTACTTGGGTGGAGGTTAGTTAATGTCAGACAGCATAGCTTTCTATTTATATAGTAAGAGTCTTATATTAAAGGGCTTTAAACTGCCTTTTCAACCTATTGCCTCAGATGTTAAGTCTTGTTGGAATATAAGAAAACAAACAAATGCACTTCTTGGAAAGTAGTGTGGACACTGCTAGAAGTGGAATGTAGTGTGGACACTACCAAAAAACACCTCTTTTATTTTTATTGTGTTTTTGTCGTTAAAAACCATAGTACTTATTGTTTTGGTAATAGTACGTTAGACTGTAGTAAGGTACTTACTATGTTTTAATTTGCAGAAAAGGCAGCGTCTCTTAGCCTTCGTGTGAACAGGTGTTAGTGTGCCTGTGTGACATGGCCCAGGCAGTAGTGGCTTTATGTCTTTCCTAGAAGTGACCATTGATCTTCCTGTATGTGATTGGTTGATTCTTCCCACATCCTCTTCTAAAACAGAATAAATTTTTAGTTGCTTGTGTCCTAGGACAGCAAGCTGAGTGAGTATTCATGTATGGTACCAGATGTTCTGTTCAGCTAGAGGATATTAATCTCTGCAATTATATCTTATTTGCTAAAAAAAAATACTAAAAGTAACTTTTATAAAATTAGCAAGTGCCATTTTCATGTTTATTTTTGAAAGAAAAAATTTAAAACTACTTGTTTTAAGTCTGTTCTCTGCGTTGTCATAGTCTGAGATTTTTCTTTTCTCTATTTAGTGTAGAGTCTCAGTTCCTTCATTAGGAGATGGTGAACGTTTCTTTTTTCCTATTTTCATTACAATTCTGATACAATTATGTTGTTGTCTTTTATTTGTTCATTTTTTTGAGACAGGGTCTCACTCTGTAATTTAGGCTGGCCTTGAACTCACTCTGTAGCCCAGGCTAGCCTCAAACTTGCTTCAATTCTCTTGTCTCAGCCTCCCGAGTGCTAGGATTACAAGTGATACAATTATTTTTAGATGTTTCCTTTGTAGTCTAATTGTGTTTTCTCAAGTTAAACATATACACATATTCCTTATTATAATTTTGTGACTTTAGTAGTATTCCTAGCCTCTTGCCTAGGATGAATTCCAGAATATAACTTAAATCTTGAGTTTACAGATTTTTTTGTTTTTGTATAGATGGGACCTCATCCTTTTTAGATACTATATAAAAGACTTCCATTACCTTTTTTTTTTTTTGGTGGTACTGGGGATTGAACTCAGAACTTTGTACTTGCATGGCAGGTGTGGTGCCACTGAGCTAAATCCCCAGCCCACCATTACTTTCTTTTTCTTTTATGTTTTTCTGGTACCGGGGATCAAACTTGGGACCTTGTGCTTGTAAGGCAGGCGGTGGCACCACTGAGCTAAATCCCTGGACTTCACCGTTACTTTTTTTGTGTGCAGTAAAAATGTAACCAAAAAAGAATGAATAAAATATAATTTGGAGATGGCATATCAGTTTTTCAAAAAAGAATTTTATTTGGAAGAAATCATAAAAAATTTTAAACCTTTTTCAAAACTCAGTTATTTAAAGAAATGCTTGGAAATGACATAAAATATTTTTAGCTTAGTAATAATTTGTTATAAAATGACTAATAACATTGTTTTTAAAAATATAAGCCAAGAGACTTGGTGTATTTATTTGTACTAACATTTTACCATTTATACTTTTTAATCTTAAACATGGTTAATAAAGTTGTTTTGATTGATATTGTTTAAAATGATGGCCTATGCACCACATTTACCTTTAGCAGTAATTTAAAAGAGATAGCAAGCCTTACCTTGGGTAAAGAAGAACACAGTGCAAAAGGGGGAAAAAAACCTTAAAAATTTTGCACTGAGGCTGGCTTTTCTAGTTTATTTGTTGGCTTAAGTACTTTGGTGATGGGCCTCTGTGTTTATTCACTGACTGAACAAAATGAGGATAGGAGAGAAAAAAGGCTAAAACTTTATTTTAAAAAACAAACCTATAGTATCTAGCACCACTAATGTAGCCCATGGTCCCTGGAGGGAAGGGAAAGGATTTGTTTTGACATTTTCAGCTACGTTACCTTGAACACTTGAAGGTTGACAAATCATCCTTACGTGAGCAGTATAATAGTAAGGTGTTTTAAGGAAGAAAGAATTTATCTGTGATAATGTAGAGAATATTTGATTTATCATAGGAGCATTTTTTAAATCACTGAATAGATAGCAAAGAC